GTAGCCGTGTCCAGAAGCTTGTGAAGTATGCTGCTGAGGCGCTATCCCTGCGGGCCCCTCTCGCCCCGAAGACGGGAAAGAAGGCCTTCGAGAAGCCCTCCCAAAGTCTCAGTCCCCCAGTTGGGGCAGCGGGAGCAGTCAACCAGTGGGCTGCGCCACCCCCGCCCCCTTGGGGGTCAGCCTCGGCGTGCTCGAGCGTGCCGTAACCCCCAGGGCGTGGTCAGACATCAGCGGGCATGGCTAAATAGCCATTGGCTGTGCCTAGCGTGTCACACCCGCGCCCGCACGGACAATACCCGCAAGGCCCGCATGCGAGAAGCATGCCCAGGTAATTCAGCCATGTTGTCTAAGCTAATTCGGGAACCCCGGAAGCACCATTTAATGATAGATGCCGAGTCCTTCCTAGTCGTTTGTAAGAGGTGCGGCCGCTATAGCGAAAGCAACCTCAAAGGACTCAAAGGTGAATGCAAGGAACGCTTCCAAAGCAAGTTCTCCCAAGGTGCGTGGTCCCTCCTGGCTGGCGGCCGTCATCCCAAGAGCAGTATGAAGGCCCGCCCCCGGCTTTCCCTGCCCATCCCTGCGGCCCAGCTCCTCAAGGAAGGAGGGGCGACGTAGGGACGAAAGAGTGCGTAAGGGGAGAGCGGATGTAACCCACAGGTTTCGGTTAGGGCCGGGTCGGCCTGACCCCAGCCTTCCTCATTAGCATGCGATGGTCCTCCCTCCTCCCTCCTCCCTCCTCCCTCCTCCCTCCCTCCCTCCTCCTCCCTCCTCCTCCCTCCTCCCTCCTCCCTCCCCCCTCCCCCTCCCCCCTCCCCCCTCCTCCCTCCTCCCGCCTCCCTCCCCTCCTCCCTCCTCCCTCCTCCCTCCTCCCTCCTCCTCCCTCCCTCCTCCCTCCTCCCTCCAACCTCCTCCTCCTCCTCCCTCCTCCCCTCCCTCCTCCCTCCTCCCTCCTCCCTCCTCCCTCCCCCTCCCTCCACCCTCCTCCTCCCTCCCTCCTCCCTCCCTCCTCCCTCCCTCCTGCCTCCCTCCCTCCTCCCTTCTCCCTGCTCCCTCCTCCCTCCTCCTTCCTCCTCCTCCTCCTCCTCCTCCTCCTCCTCCTCCTCCTCCTCCTCCCCTCCAACCTACGGTGGTGGTGGTGGTTGTGGTGGTGGCAACAGGCCCATCAATTCATCTCCAAACTCTTGCGGGAGGCCGCTGCGCGGTGCGGGTGCTGGCAGACTCCGTGCGGTGACCTCGGCGTCCCGAACAAAAACCCTCACGGGTACGGTCCGTCCCTTCACCGTTTTTTGGTTGTTTGTATTTTTTGATTTTGTCGAAGCCCCGAGCGAAAGGATAACCGAGCCAATTCCCATCGAGACGCTTCTCTCCGACTGGCAAGGCCACTTCCTATCGAGACGCTTCTCGCTGGCCGGAACGCGAGTCCGTCACCGCAACCTTTTGGGAGCCTCGGGGTCGGTAGCAACTCGTGGGAGCCTCCCATACCATCCTGTCGGCTCCTGCGAATCGACGCCAATCTACGCTCACCGTCGCCGAATCGACGCTGAACCGACGCTAACCGACGCTACGTCGGTGCTACCTCATCGACTCCCAGACGCTCTAATCGATGCTGCTCGATGCGAAGGACGGACTGCAGAGGGTGCACCACTGACTACCTACCAGACCACCCCAACCCAACCCGAAGACCCGAATTTGACCCGAATTTCGGGTTGGGGGGGGGGGGTACGGGCACCATGTGTTTTTTCAACGTTCCCCGACCCCCCCCCCACTGGAAATGGAGGGCAAATTGAGGCCTTCGGGTTGGGTCGGGGTGGTTTGGTAATTAGGGGGTGCACCACAGGCTCCCGTGACTTGCCGCCGAAGCCCATTAGAGGCCCCGATCGCCCGAGGCGCCCCGTCAGAGCACGGCCCTGCGGCCCCACAGCCTGTGCGGCCACCCCGAGAAAAGCCCCGCCGACCCGCCGCACACGGCGCGGCCGCCCTGCCGCCTGGGAGGGGGGGGGGGGCCCGTGCCCGACCTCCGCGGCCTCCGGGGGCCTCCCGGGCCCTGGGAGACTGCCGCCTGCCGTCGCTCTCGGACGTCCCTTTCCCGTGCACTTTTGTTCGGTTGCGCGCGTGGCTGTCTCGGCCCGATGGTCCGGGATGCTCCTCGATGGCCCTCGCCGAAGGAGAAGATGCACGCGTCCGAGCGATGCCAAGGCCGAGCACCGGCCCGGGGTGGAGCACCAGCCGGGGTGGGCCCCCAGGAGGGGGTCCAGGGGCACATGGTGTGCGAGCGGGCAGGCGAGCCCCAGATCGGATCGACGAGGCGGACAGGGCGATCGAACTGAGGCGGCTCGGCGGACATCGGCAGCCAAGTCGGGAAGCGTCGACTCGGCAGAAAACGGCAGGCTGGTGCGCCTGCAATGAGGCACATCGGCATCCCAAGTCGAATCGAATCGGGATTGGAAGCCATCGAAGCCGACTCGAATCGAATCGGAGGAATCGAGACGAGCCCTGAGCGGATGCCGAAGAGGAGAGGGTGGCCACCCTCTCCTCCGACGTCAGCTTTTGCTCGTTACCTTGGCCGGCTGGGATCTCGACCCTTTCCCGAAGGCTGGCTATGTTTGGGTGCGATTAATTTGGGGGGGGGGAGACAGGTGCGCTTCTAGGGCCCCAGCAGGCCCCCTTGGGGGATTTCTTTTCGGCAGCCCTCGCTGCCCCCCCATTTATCGGGTCGAGGATCGACTACAGAGTTGATTTACCCCAGAAGTGATGTTCCAGCCGTATAATTACGAACGGCACTACGCATCCGTCGCAGATTCGGCGGGAAATCAACTACGGGGTAAACAACTTCTCTAGTCGATCACCTACTCGAATTCATCGACCCCCCATTGGCATCACCACCCAAAATTGTTTGATGGACCTTGGCCTGGGCAACGGCCTCCAAAAGGCCAACAGCACAGGAAGAACGGTCGCCACAATCTTGTTGCGACTTCGGTATCGGAAGGGAGGGAGAGATAAGGAGGCCTCGTACTTCTCCTGTTCTGGGCCTTCGGGCCCCTCCTCGTCGCCACTTCTGCACGCGACTTGAACTGCGGGTCAGGGTGGTGCCAGTGAGGGATCCAAACGCAAGGTTTAAGCATAGAGTGAGAAGGAGGGGGGGATATATGGGGGTCAGAAGAATAGAATAGTATGATGCCGATGAGAGGGGAAGGGGGAGGGACAAGGATACGAGAAACGAGGGAAGGGGGAGGGTGCAGAGGCGGAGGATGGGAATTGGGAGGAACATGCAGGGGAAAAGCAAGGGGCGAGGAGCCGCAGGAGGGAGGGACAATCTCCTCCTCCTCCGCCTCCGCTTCCTCCTCCTCCTGTTGCGCCTTTGGCAGCCCCCTCGTCGCCACGGCTTGACGCGACTCGGACTCCAGGCCAGGGTGGTTCCCGTGATGGGGTATGGGGACCCCTCTGGAAGCGCGACGACGGCGAGTGGGGAGGAGGAAGAACGCGGTGGGAAGAAAAACAGCGCCGCCCTGTCCTGAGCCAGCAGGGCACGCCCCAGATCGACGAGCTTGCGCTGGTGGTCAAGCATTCTGGGTCGTGCTGAGAGCGTGTTCTGTCCAGACCCTCTGTGGTGGACGTGAGAGACCACCTCGTGACGCAACAAAGAACCGACACAAGCAGCCGCTGGGGCGCAGAAGGCCGCCTCGAACCGAACGCCATGTTTCTTCGCCGCTCCACGTGGTGCTCCCGCTCGCAAACATCTGTGAGGCAATTCGCCCGTGTGGCCAGCACCTGTTCACGGCCTGAGCCGGCGGGAGTCCCTGGAGTAGAGGCCTCGTAGATGGGGTCGGAGTAGATGGGGTCGCAGGATCGCGCCGCATCGCCGATGCATCGGCGACGCATCGGCGATGTATCGGCGATGCACCATCAATGCATCGGCGACGTCCGCGTGAGAAAACACGGGCTCCGCATCGAGCCGCATCGCCGATGCATCGGCGATGCGCCGCGATCCTCCGACCCCATCTACTCCGACCCCATCTAGGATCAGGGGGGCGTAAGACCTGGGTACAGGGGACTCGGAAATCCCCGACGCGGTCGTCAAAAAAAAAACGAGGCCGAGCCTGCATTTTGACGAGGCCTCCCGCTGCAGACGTCCCACGAAACTCCTCCCCGTCAAAATCCGAGGCGCGGTCGTCGAAAAACGATGACGAACCCGAGTCCTGGCAAACCTGGGTCTTGCGCTCCCCCGATAGGAGGACCATGGCGAGTAGCAAGAACGGGGGCAGACGGGGGCGAGCAGCAGGAGGAAGACGCCCGCGCCGCCAGCACGCAAGGGGGCGGCCCCCGCGTGCCGGCGCCCCGCCGACCCTGCCCTCGCAGGGCCGAGCCGTGGTCGGGTGCTGCTAGAAGTGCCCCTGGCTCAAGGTGCCCCCCAGGATTCCCGAGGAGGCCCCAAGGCCTCCAGAACACCCCTCACGAGGCCCAGAGCGCCCCAGGGGCTCCAAAACTAAGCGAAAAGCCTACCAGGCGTGGCCACGAGTACACCGTGACCGCGAACCCACCTGCGGTGGCCGTCACTCCCACCCGCAAGCCACCCCACCATAAAGATCATCTCTCCCCTCGTTAGAACCACATCGAATACAACGTCGACTAAGGGCACCTTGGGCCAGGGGCACCTTTAGCAACCCCCGCCATGGGGCCTGCGTCGCACCGGACCGAAAAATGCGCCCGCCGCTGCCGGGCGACCTGCGAGGCGCCCCGGGCGCCGGCCTCACCGACGCCCGCTGCTCTCAAACCCAGGGAGGAGGGAGGCGGGAAGAGAGAGGGGGAGGAGGCGGCGGGGGAGGAGGAGGAGGACGAGGACGACGAGGAGGAGAATGGTGATGAGGAGGAGGAGGCGGAGGACGAGGAGGAGGAGGAGGAGGAGGAGGAGGAGGAGGAGGAGGAGGAGGAGGAGGAGGAGGAGGACGAGGAGATCCAAGGGATCTTCTCAGGCTCGGTTCTGGCCGCGCTTGCCGCGCCGCCGGCCCTTCAGCGCAGAGAGGGTGACGGCGACCGCGGCCAGCGCGGAGGCCCCCAGGGCGGCCCCCGTCGCCGCGCCCCTGAGCCCGGCCAGCACCTGGGGAAACCCAAAGGTACCGATACCGCGGGGGTCTGGGTCCTCCTTTTTGTTCGACGCACCCCTTGCCGTCGCTCGGACGTCCATTTCCCGTGCAGTGTTCGGTTTCGTGTGTTTTTGTTGTTCGATGGTCCAGGGTGGTCCTCGATGGTTCTCGCCGAGAAAAGATGCACACGTCCGAGCGATGCCAAGACCCGCCCTCGAAACGCTGCTCGCGAGGGCTCTGCGCGAGGACGGCCGCCCCCGCCCCCCCTGGTGTATGTCGCGGCGGGGCGTGCGCCGGGCGGGCCTCCGCCCCCGGGGTGCGGCAGCCGAGCCGACGGCCAGGCAAGGCAAGAGGAGGGCCCCCCCCGCGGACCTCTCCTGGGGCGCGTGCTGACCAGGATTTCGCGAGGCGAGCCCGGCGGTGGCGACGAGGGCCTCCCAGGAGGCGCCAAACAGGGGAAAACGGGCGAGGGGGGAGAGGCATGGGTACCTTTGCCTCCTCTGAGCACCAAGGTGGGCCACTCGTGCGGGTTGTAGCGATCCCGGCTGCGCAGGTTCTCGCCGCCGCCGAGCTCCGCGGCCACGGCCGCGAAAGCCCAGGCCGCCACCAGGGAGGTGACCGCGTCGGGGTTCGCGGCGGTGGTCACCAGGGCCACGTTGGCCGCAACGATGGCGGCGAAGGACAGCACGGCGACGGCGAGGAGCACCTCGGGGGACGCCTTTGCCGCGTCGAACTGCACGTTGGCGTTGACCGCGCTGGCACAGATGATCCACCCGAGGTGCAGGCAGAGTGGTGCGCGCAGGCCCAGGTACTCGGCCCACGTCAGCTGCAAACCGTCGGTGCACACGACGAGGCCAGTCAGGCATGCCAGGATGCCGAGCATCATCAGCAGCGACAGGGGGATTACCTCTTGCGCGAAGGCGAACGTCCAGACGCACTGGCAGAGGCAAGCGCCCCACCACCAGGGCGACGCCAGCTGCACGACCTCGCTGCCTCCGAAGCGGGGGAACATCTGAATCACAACAAAGACGCCCTCCCAGATGAAGATTGGCCCCCAGATGCTGAACGCCCAACCCGAGGGTGTCACGAGGGTCTGATACTTCTTGCTCAAGTCCGAATTGTTCTCGCCGAATACGCCCGTCAACGACACATACGTGATGACCACATTGAGGGCATAAGCGGCGAGGTTGATGAAGTTCCGGCTCTGGAGCTTGATGTCGCGCGGGGGCGACGGCTGGTCCTCTTGAAACCTCGCGTGCTCCACGTCGGCCATCCCCCGAACCTGGAGAATCCCTGCTGCCGCCGCTGGCAGATGAAGGCTTTCGTGGCTGCTTCAAGCCAGGATAAGAGCCTGAGATATTGAAACAAAGCTCGAGCCGAACCAATTACGCAGTCGGGCCGAGTCCATTTGGACGGAGAGGGACGTACCCTAGCGCTTCAAACGAATGTTGTTGTTGGTTCCCAAACTTATCGCGGCTTCGATGGATATTGTGCTACGTGGCTGCTGCCTGCTGTTCAACGTCAGGGCACCGCATGATGCAACCAACGCCCTGACCATCTCTGACATCTTGGTGTGTGAAGTGCGGTATGGAAGATCGGACTGCAACGTCTCTTAATCCAATGACGGATATGTTTGCTGTGCCATCCGCGCATGGCGCATTCAGCTCAGCATTATGCGGGTGAGGCTCGCAACACATTTCCTTTTTTTTTCCCAGCCATCATGTGGTGTTGGTTCCTCGTTTTGAAGAGACAACGCCCCGCGTATCCTTCCTTCCTCCCGCTGCCCCGACCTCCCCATCCTCCTGTCCTTGCTTCTGCCCTCCGCACCCAGTACGGCGTACCGTGGCCCCATGGGGAACTCCACCGAAAGCCCCAATGGCCGTGTTCACAGGCTTCCCGCGTTACCGAGTACGGCGCTTCGTGGCTCCATAGGGAGCTCCACCGAAGGCCCCAGCGGCTGTGTCCACATGCGTCCCGTGCCACCCAACACGGCGCTTACTGCACGAAGAGGGCGGGGCACTCCAAACACGTCTTCGGGGGAGAGCGGAAGGTAGTACTCAGACAGCGTAACTGTGAGGCAAGTACGGGAGGGAAGGGAGGAGGAGGGGTGGAGGAGCGGAGCACGAGAGGGGTGGGGGAGGAGGAAGAGGAGGAGGAGGAGGAGGAGAAGGAGGAGGAGGCGGAGGAGAAGGGGGGGAGGGTAACGAAGAGGGGGAGACGGAGGGGGAGGAGAAGGAGAAGGGGAGGAAGGGAGGGAGGAGGAGCCAAGCTAGGCGCGCTCGTGTCAGATCTGACGTCCTACCCCCCCCCTCCCATCCCTTACCATGGCGTAGATCTCTCTACTCGTACAATCGGATGTCGTAGCAGGGCATAGCATTACATGGCATAGCATGGAGTTGAGTATCAACGCGTAGCATGACATAGAATGGCGTGACGACGCCCCAAGGTTGATCAGGCGCTTCTGCGCCCCAAGCATCAACGAATCGACACCGAATGTGTAATCACTTCCGATGGTTTCTTTCGGGGGGCATTTTCTAGATGTTGGGGCTTATTTGGAAAGACCGAAAATCATGCGCACTGGAAACAATAACGCCAGCGCCGCAGCTGAAGCACGATTCGGAACGAGCGGAAGCGCGGAAATGAGTCCAGCGCTGCAGCGGGAGAACGTTTCGGAACGAGCGGAAGCCCGATAATGAGGCCAGCGCTTCAGCGGAAAGAACATTTTGAACTATAGCCCAAGAGAAAACCCGTTTCACGGGAATCCGGTTGAACAAACACAATACGCAGAGGGGGCCGGGTATACTCCAGACGTCATCAGGGGAGAGAGGAGAGTAGTATTCATATGGTGTACTTGTACTAGTGGGGGGAGGAAGCTCCCCGTCCTCTTTTTTCCCCCCCTCGGCCGGGAGCCTCGTCCGTCTCCACGCTGTCCAGCTCGAGCCGCACGCCGTCGGGGTCCAGGTTGAGCGTTTCCCGGAACCGACGAAGCCCGCCGCAGCGGGGTCGCAGGGCGAACGTCGGGCGCACTCAGAGCGAGAAAGGGGAGGAGGAGCACCAGAACGACATACGCACGATCATTCGGAATTCCGCGCGGACTGATTGGATCGGCGCTGGTCCCCGGCTAACTTATGCGCTCGAGCAAGGGGGAGGGAGGGGCCAACCCCTCCTCCACCTCCTCCTTCACCTCTTCCTCATCGTCCTCCTCGCTCCTCATCCCCTTCACTCCTGCTCCTCCTCCACGCCTTCACCTCCATCTCTTCTTCTTCCTCCCCCTCGTCATCCTCCTCCTCCTCTTCCTCCTCCTCCTCCTCCTCCTCTTCCTCCTAGCCCTCCCTATCTGTTTCTCCTCCTCCTCCTCCTCTTTTCCTCATCCCACCTTTTCCTCCCGACTCCACCTCGTCCTGTTCTCTGGGTCCCGCCCTTCGGGGGGGACCCCGCAGCGGCCGCGGCCGCACGCGGAGGACGGTGCCCCCGGGAGGGCTCTCTGGGAACCAGCTTCGGACGGGCCTGCGCGGCGGAGGGGGGTGGGGCGAGGGAGAAGGTCGGAGGATCCAGACGCCCTCGTGCTCGGCCCCAGAGGGCCCCACAGGATGAGACGAATCCAGGAAGAGATCAAGATCGGGTGGCAACAAATCGAGAACCTCTGAGATCTGGCGGTTCTGGAAGATGTCCCGGGCGGGCGCCGCGGCCTTCTCGGAGCGCTCCGGAACGCTCTGCAACGGATTGGTCCTCGTCCCAGCCCCGCTCGGCAGGTGCCCCAGGATTGCCCCTCTCGGAGTCCAAGACAGCCCCAGGACGGTCATAATGAGCCCTTGTTTTCCTTTCCAGCTCGTGGGGTCCAGATTCAAGCGAAGACTGGATACGGCATCTGCTCGAAACAACAGCATGCTTAAACTGCATCTTTCCGCTCGAGATTGTACCCAGAGGAGGCTTAACCTACGAAGCCGACGTTCAAACTGCGTTCGATGTGGACCACTCTCAGCCCACATAATAAACCCCAGGACAGCTCCTCAAGAAGTGGAGAGAAGAGAGGTGCCGCACGTGGCGGCCTTGCGTGCGTGCGCCGCTGGGCATCATCCGACATCCGACACGAGGTGTCACATGTTACGGCCTTCATCTTTCTCCCCCCCTCCTCCTCCTCCTCCTCCTCTTCCTTCTCCTCCTCCTCCTCCTCCTCCTCTTCCTCCTGTACTCCGCCCCATCGCGGCCTCGCAGCATTGCAGGGCAGCCTGAAAAAGGCAGAGGTGTCAGGTATGACGGCTATCCGGGCTTTCCCCCAATCGTCGCAACACCGAGGATGTTACATGAAGAAAGAAAAGAAGCGGGGACGAGGTGGGGCAAGATGAACGCGACGAACAACGCAAACGGGACGAGCCCAACACCAAAACTGAGGAACACACCGTCACGAAACGGAAATGGGTGTCACGTGCTACGGCTGTCTCAAGACTAGCAACGTGAAGCGTCACACCATCCGGATCCCTGTGCGCTCTTCGAACAGTCGCCTGTCACGGTGGCGGAACGTGCCACAGGCAGCTGGATGCGTTGCATCATTCTGTAGCATGTATCAACATTTAGGCCGCCCGAAGTGGGTACCAACGAAATGGGTACAATGCCCAGCAACAAATGCTGTCCAAAACCAACAGCGGCCGCTGCTGGGCAGGCGGCTTTTCGTCTTTAGTCAACAACGTCCGCGGCGGCGCGGACAGCGAGTCCTGTTCTGCTGTTGGGCATCTTATCTCCACCTTTCCGTACCCATTCCGATCGTCCCGAAGCATGTATCCAACCCCGGGGGGAGCCTTCGGAACTGGCTGGGCGCAGCACCCGACCAGCGGTTCTGGGCCACGGTCGGCTTCTTGATTTAGGGTCGGGCATGTCCTCATACAGGCGGATCGGAAGAACAACCAGCATTAGTCAAGCAATATCCAAGAAGATTCCAACAATAATAAAAACATCGTCACCATATTTGACTACCTACCAGACCACCCCAACCCAACCCGAAGACCCGAATTTCGGGTTGGGGGGGGTACGGGTTCCATATGTGTTTTCTCGATGTTCCACGACCCCCCCCCACTGGAAATCGAGGATAAATTGGGGCCTTCGGGTTGGGTTGGGGTGGTTTGGTGGGTGGCCACATATCATGTTTTGACTTCTTCTCGAAGGTTCCGCCTGTAGAGGGACAGGCCCGATCTCACAGTTCACCCTCGCTGCACGCCGCGCCGATCTTCGAACAACCAAGGATGTCACCGACGGCGCGGCCCGCTGCACCCCCCCCCCTCGCGTGCACCGCACCCCCCCGCCCTGTCGGCATGGCGCTGCACGTGAGCCCGAGCAACTCAAGACTTTCGGGCGCGGCCTGACTGACCCCTATCGGGTCGGGCGAAAGGGGGGACAGCAAAGGGGGGGGGTGAGAATCAGCTCACGTAGCTGATTTTCCCGGCGCCTCCCGGCGCCGGAGGCGGCCATGTATCGAGGAATGGGCCTGTCGGTGAGGCCGGAACCAGCTGCATGCAGCAAATCCCACCAGCCCTTTGGGCGTGAGTGGTTTAGCGAGCTCTCTCTGTTCTCAACCCCTTATCTTCCCTTTCGGGGAAGGGTTTACCCCTCCCCCTACCCCCTCCCCCTGGACCTGGACAGGGATTCCCGAGTGGTGGCGGGGGGGTCCATTTCGACTCCTCGGAGGGCCAAAAACGACGACCCTCACGAGGATTCTGGCCCCGGGGGGGGGGGGGGGAGTTTGGTCCCTCTGCTCGTCTTTGAAGCAGAAATCATTGATTTTACATGGTTTTGGCCCCATTTTGGCCTTCTGAGGGGGACGCGCTCATCTGCCCTCATAGCAAAATCATTGATTTTACGAAGGTTTTGGGCTCATTTTGTCCTTCTCAGGGGGCAGCTCTCCTTTGCGCTTCTGCGGAGGTCGCAAGAGGCCCCAAGATGGCCCCAAGAGGCCCCCAGGAGGCTCCCAAGAGGCCTCCAAGAGGCCCCCCAGAGGCCCCCAAGCGGCCCCAAGATGCCCCCAAGAGGCCCCCAAGAGGCCCCCAAGAGGCCCCCCCAAGAGGCCCCCAAGAGGCCCCCAAGAGGCCCCCAAGGCCCCACGAGGCCCCAAGAGGCCCCCAAGAGGCCCCCAAGAGGCCCCCAAGAGGCCCCCAAGAGGCCCCACGAGGCTCCAAGAGGCCCCCAAGAGGCCCCACGAGGAGCCCGAACGACTCACATCAGGACGAGGGGCCCGAACGACTCACACCACGAAGAGCCCGAACGACTCACACCACAAGGAGG